CATGAGGCGCTGGCGTTCGGCGAGGATGCGCTGACGCTTGGCAAAGGCGGCGTCGGTCGCTGCGTTCGCTGCGATCCACGCTGCATGGACCCGTTGCGTGTTCTCCTCGCTCGCCATGTACTCGGCCTCGAGCGCTTCCTTCACGCTCTCCTCACGGCCTTCATGCAGGACGCTGCGCAGGTCCTCCTCGAGCTGCCGCTGGAGCCGACGCTTCCGGCGCTTTAGCGCGTTCTTGGCGCGGGTCCGGGTCGTGGCCATCGGGATTTTTCTTGGGATTGGTCGAGATGAAACCGGTTGTCTGAACCGGTTTGCGTCCGGCATTCGGATTGGCCAAAATCACAACCCAAAAGATCGCCACCATAGTGGACCAAGCCGGATGACAACGATGCGAAGCGATCGCCGGGGCCGACGCATGCTGCGTCCATGGAGCGAGCCGACCGAGGAAGCCGACCTGAAGCGCGAGTACCCGTACGTGGACCTCTACGTCCGGGTAACGCGGCAGATGATCGGCCTTGACGCGCCCGACCTGGCGCCATGCAGCACGACCGGATTGCACCTGCGGCCGATCCAGCACCACGCGGTGCGACCCCAGCATGACAACAAGGTCAGCGTCACAAAGGGCACGAAGAAGGATGATGTCCAAGCCAAGACGATGCGCACGATCGAGATGTACCTCGGGCACCTCGCGATCATCATGGATGAGCACGTCTGCGTCACGACGCTGCCCCGGTCGTTTGCCGAGCTCATGGAGACTGTCGCGTCCCTTCGACCCAACCAAGACCGCGTCTGGTCCCACCACGAAGCGTTGCCACGCTTTGTGATCCACGACGAGCTCTCGTACCTCTGCTTCACCAACACCCAAGTCCGCTTCGTCTACATCTTCTAGTGCATCTCGCCTCGTTGTCTTGCATTCTCTCGCCCAAGCTAATGCTACACGTCTTGTCGCTTTCGTCAGGTTGTCTTCATCGCGATGGTTCCTCGACTGCAACGTCGTGCTGTCAACTTCAACCACGTTGAGATCGTCGGAGAGGTCGACCTTCATACGCTATCGGTTAGGCGAGCCTTGTAGCAACGTCCTTGCGTGTAGCCATGCTTGCTGCTGCCCATGACGTATGGCGGCTCTGGCTGGGGGAGGCGAGCAGCGAATGACCGAACGACTGCGCAAGCGATTCGAACCGGCCATGGCTCCAGTTTAACCGGTTATTGTGTCCCGTCTGTCTTTTAGCTGTCGTGCTCAGCTCCGCATCACATGTCTATGTAGAGTACTACAAAGCTCGGTGGTGCCTGTATGGGAATGGCGGTTTGCAAGGAACCTTCAACGAGTAGCGTGAATCGTCGACGCGCGCGGCTCATTTTTAGCCGGTTAATCGTCTCAACCGGCGGGAAAAAACCGGTTCTGTGCGCAAAGATCGCCAGCAAAACCATATTCGCCAGCACAGCATCATGAAGCGCTACATGAGGCAGAGCTTGGCGCCGACGCGCTCGGACAAGCAGATCGAGAACCTCGTACAGGCTGTCTCCAAGATGGATGTCAACGTGCTCGAGAAGCTCATGGCGCAGGTGGCCATCGTACGCCCCGCCAACGAAGGGCTGCTATCCCCCGAGGAGGCCGCAGGAAAGGCCGTCGTCCTGCACAACCTCACGTCCACAAAGGAGACGACGAACTCGTCTCCGGACATCCTTGGCGCCATGCTCGAGGAGCGTGGCATCCCAATTGTCGACGGCTACATCACGCTCACGGACGACTTCAACCTCCAGGACGTCACGTCCATGCTCGAGGCCGCGCGCCTCAAGGTGCTCTGCAACCGCGTGCGAGACATCATGTACGAGCACCTTATCATCCACGTGGGGCGCGTCACGTCTATTGTGCCCCTGCCCACCTCCTTTGCCGCGCTCCTCGACGTTGTGAACGCGATCCGCCCGGACCAAGACCGCGTCTGGTTCGACAGCAGCGCCCAGCCGCGGTATCTCATTCACAGCGAGCTCTCGTACCAGTACTTTGTCATGTCCCGGCGCCGTGAAGTGTACCTCGACTAAGCCGCGCAAGCGTCTTCGATCCCGCGACCTCGAACGCAGCCGCAGCACTATCTATTCTGCGTGACCGTCAACCCAAGTTCTTTCCATGTTTGTAGCAGCCGGTGCATAAGATCCTAGTCCAAACGTTGATACGGCTAGGATGCATCGAGGATGCATGGTTGATGTAGCACGACAAAAGTTCGACTGCAAGACGAGCACTATTACCGACGTACTGTACGAAATGTACCAGCGACGGTTCAAGTAATACCTTATTGTACCACTACGCTTAGCAATCAGTCGTCGATAAGCATACTGGCACACGGCACTGCCATCCTACCAGCTGCAAGCATGAAGAGCATAGAGGACCATGGCAGCAATGGCGCCTAGAAGCAACGCGGGCGTTTAATTGCCCGAGCATCGCCATGGCGCCAAATGGAGCCAGCTCTTGCCTGATTTTTGCGTGT